AAGTGCTTTGAGCAGAGAGGTGGTGGCCTAGGTTTGCTGTACATGGTTAGCATTTACCCTAGAGCCTCCAGTACTAAGCATTGTCCATGACCCTTCTGTGGGTACACAACAGCTACTAATGGAGTTAAACTTGAGTTAGCATTTCCATTTCAGATCATCAGCTATACCATCCATACTCCCCCAAAGTGTCCACACTGCTGGTCAAGAAAACGTTGAGACAAACATCGAGTTTTGGAATGGGGAAGGGTTAAGAGTTCTACAGCTGGCAATAATAACCTAAAATTTTCCTAACAACAGAATAAAAACACACACAGATAAAATCTAAATTCTATCTTAATATTTTAATAACTAGGAACTAAAGCTTGATAAAAATAATCTTATTGGACCAGCTGTGTGGCTCGGTTAGTTAGAGTGCAAGCTCTGAGCAACAGGGTTGCCGGTTCGAGTCCCACATGGGCCAGTGAGCTGCACCTGAGCTGAGCTGCCACTAAGCTGGTGAGAGCACGTGCTCTTAACAACAAGGTTGCCAGTTGGACTCCACATGGGATGATGGGCTGCACCTCCCCTCCCCCAACTAAGATTGAACACAGTGCCTTGAGCTGAGAAGTCTTGAGCTGCCAATGACCGGGCGGATGGCTCAGTTGGGTAGAGAGTGTGCTCTTAACAACAAGGTTGCCGGTTCGACTCCCACATGGGATGGTGGACTACGCCCCACCCCCTACAACTAGATTGAAAGCGGCGACTGGACTTGGAGCTGAGCTTGCGCGGCCCCCTCTACCACAACTAAGATTGAAGGACAACAACTTGACTTGGAGCTGATGGGTCCTGGAAAAACACAATGTTCCCTTCCCCAACTCCCCAACACTGTTCCCTTCCCCAATTCCCCAACAAAAATCTTATTAAATAATAATAATAATCTTATTTATAAAGCTTAGTTACTGAGAGAGGTAGTTATGAGGACATCTAGAGGTGACTCCCAGGGGAAGAAGAGAGGAGGGAAGGGGAGGACACGGAGGGGCAGGATAACTCTACCTTTATAATGTTGCCCATAGTCAGCCCTGAGGGAAGGAAAGTCACCTGTAGCTTTACTGCCACCTAAATGCCTACTTCTGCCCATCTCACGCTACCTTGTCATACAGTCCAATTAGAGACAGGTGTAGAAACAAGGAAGTGATATTTCTACCCAACCAATCCTGAACTGAGCTGAGTTCATCTGAACTGAGGAAGCAGCTATTTCACAGGCATCAGTGGAAGAATGGGACTTGTCATCATGCCTAGGCTTTATTCAAGGCCTCCCATTGTCATTCCATGGCATGTGAGTGCAAGGCAAGGCCTAGAGATGGGCTAGGAAAGATACAAGAGGATCCTGGAACTGTCAACAGAAAGAGAGAAAGAACTTCTGGTAGGAAGCCTCAGAAGGGAGGTCAGTCCCCTAAGGGAAGTTTGTAACTAAATGGACTTTCTTTTCTCTTTATACATATCCTTGTGAAAATACTAATGAAATTTCGGAAGGAAAAGGCCAGAGGTTGAATACTTAACTCAGATGCTGGCAAACCAGACCTTAATAATCAAACTAGATAACGTATTATAGATATGTGTTGATCTAACCCTATGCAAATTCAAAATAGAAGCTGTTTTTAAAACAGGTCATTCTGAATAAGGAATAAATAATTGAAGTATGTACAATGAGTCTAATGTGAAACAGTATTATTTTTTTTCCAATTCAAGGATTAATCTGACTAGAATGTGCTCTGCTGGGAAGTGTTTTGCTACTGAGGATTTCTTATTTCTTCTAGAAAGCCCATATGCCACAAATATCTTTTTCTGAGGACCCGACTGATTTAAATAGAAGAGATATTTTATCTTGCAGGCAAGGACTTAATTTCCAAGAACAGGGCGCCTAGAATGAGTTACATCAGCGTTCCTTTATATCATCTCCTACCCCTTCTTCCAACCTCAAAGAAAAAACATTCTTCAACCTTCTTTCTCTTATGTCCCACAGGACTTCAATTTTTTTGTTTCTTCTTTCCTTTACAAGTTTCTCTTTACTTACCTAATAACTTTACTCTGTGAAGGGGCTGAGGTTTCTCTAATCCTAACTAAAATCTAATTGACCACAACAGTACCTTACCCTTCAAGGTAAACAATGTTACCTCCTTCCTTTCATTGGTAGAAGTCTTAAAATCTAAAGTTACTCTCCAGCTTTCTCATTTCCCATTTAGTCCTCAGTCTGAGACCCTGTCTCTGCAAATCTACTAAACCTCTTAAAATCCATCCACGACCCAATAAGGAAGTCCATCAGCCCCTACCCTATTCTCTTATTAAGCAACCGCTTTACAGGTTTGCCATTGCTTCTGAGCCTCATTTTGGTAGTCAACTTCCTCCAACTTCTCCCTTATGTTCCCACAGTTAATTAGTATCCTTTTACTGATTCATTTTACCCCACCCAATCTTAAAGTTATATCCCAGTCATCTTCACTCCACTTTCATTCCCCAATGATGTTCATTTATGTGTAGCATAATCCTTGCCACAGCTTCACATACATCCGTATATTCAGCTTTATACTGTAATCTGATATCCGGACATAAAATGTTCACCTTATAAAACAACTATCTCTATGTGAGAGTATGTGTTGTATGTCAAATGCATAACTTCGAAAGCCAAATTCATGACCTTACGATGGCTGCAACAGAAAACAACAACACAGTAAAATAAAACAAAAAACACAACTCTTGGGCTTTAATCAGATTAGATATTACCATTCTCTATAATTTCCCTAAATAATGTCCTATAGTTCCCTATTTCCTTGTATTTGTTTGCCTTACCTTTGTACCTGGAATGAGCAACTTTGTATTTTTATTTATTTACATCCAACTCACTCTTAATGATCTAATTGAACTGTCATATCCTCTTGAAATCATTTTCTCTGGAGTCTTAGCTCCTCATGCACAGACATGGGGACTGCTGGCTTATTCTGCATCTCAGACGAAACACAGTATCTGGTACAAGATAGGTGCTCATATACTTGTCCTCATGTAAAACTCCATGAGGTAAAACCTGTGCCTTTGTTTATGTCTCAATCTCCACAGTGGACAGTTCTTCGTGGGTGTGTGGTACTCCACAAATATTGTATATGAAAGTAACATATTTTAATCGCTTTCCTTTCTCAAGATATTGAAGAAGCAGGGTGCAGCCTGTGCCCAAAACCTGACAAAAAGAGAGGGCAGGTAAGGGCATGATGATGTTCTTGTAAGAGTCAACAGACTATGTGAACAGTCTGTTCTGTTTGGTAGAAAAGAGTTGTGAGCTAGTATGTGACCATACATATCATTCGTGGGCATAGTGTAGAGTAATATACCTCATCAAATGAGGAAAGGAGAACAGAGTTGTCGTTTTAGTTTTCTTGGATGCCCTGTCAAGAGGCCTGAGAAAATTGAACTCTGCGTGGAGTAACATGTACACTGAAAGAGCCCTATTCATAGACTTTACCCAGACACACACACACACACACACACACACACACACACACACACACACAGTATCAGCACACCTGCTATCTGCCATTTGTGTGACTGCTATGAAAGACACTGAAAACTGTCAACCAGTGTTCTAGCCTTGCCTCTGATTCTAATTTAGCATGTGGCTCTGGGAAATTCGCTTAATCTCTCAACCACAGTTGTTATTCTTTAAATGATGAGATAGATAAATGTTAAAAATCTGTGATTCTAAAAATGCCCATGTATATAGAAACATGTGGAACTTAATCTCTTTATAGATCCCATATGTCAAAAGACTAGATTTTTTTTTTTTGGTGTTTCAAACCATTCTATAAAATCATTCCCCAAAGCTTTCACAACCTGACACAGCACAGCTACCTCTTCATAGGAAAACGATGAGTAAGACAGAAATATCCCGATGCACCCCCACCCCCTGCCACCTCCACCACCATCAACACACACACACACACACACACACACACACACACACACACACACACACACACACACACCTCTTTCCAAAGAGGAGGGAAAGAGCCATTTAAAAATAATCTTGCAAAATAATTTTTAAATATTTAAAATTTTCATTTTACATTGATCTAAATAACAATCAAGACTTTCAAATTCAGGATTTCCATTTTGCTTTCTTCCTATTAATTTGATAAGAACAATAATAGAGGATTTAGAGGAAATTATGAAAAATAGCAGAGAAAAGCTCCTGAGTCATTCCACTCTTTACATAGCTAATGTCACATGACCAAAAATAATTTAAAATGTGAGCACCTTAAAAAATATCGACTATTTTTAATGGCCACAGTCCTATCATTACAAATCTGCCAAGATCCAAGACAAACCCATTTTCTCAGTAATTGATTTGTTTTCAGTTTACTCCTTACATCCATATTGGGGGAGGGGGGGAGGGTCTGTATTATCATCCCAAGTCTATTAAACACATTACATAAATCTTCCATTCATGTGGAGGAAATGACTTACAAATTTTTCCAAAAGGAATAAAAAGCACAAATAACCCACACCATCATTACTGGCAGGAAGGGCTCAGAAGGCTCGTGGGCTCAGGATGCTGGCAGCCTGTGAGGCTGCTATCAGGAGGCTCAGCCCTGGGCTTTGGCAAAGCCACTGCCATATTAATCTGCTTCATTACATCTCTACAATTTGCTCACCGCGTTAAGAAGCAGTATTTCCCTTGTGAGAGGAAGATCCTTCCTTCACTATGAAAGCTTAACCCTCAAAAGGCACAAAAGTATAGCCACAGAAGGACGCTAAAGGCCAGAAAGCCAAAGAAATATTAAAATGTAGCATGCCAGAGTTGGAGCTTATTTCAGTCTCGGAAGATTTAAAAATGCAGAACAGCTAGATTTAGAGCTTTTGAATTTTTTAGATCCGCATCTAAGCTTACAAAGGCACACATCGTATTTTAAATGCTTTCATTAACATAGATAACAGTTCTTTGATAGGTCAAAGATAGAATCATATTGCCTTACCTGAAAGAAAGGGAATTGTAAATCGTAGCACAGAATCCATATATATGTGGAATATAATAGTCTCCAGTGCAGTTCTTCAGAATTTCAATGAGAGCAGAAAGTAAAACCTCACATGTGTTCTAGCCTCACTGAAAAATAAAAAAAAAAAACAAGAAAGGACGACCATAGCATCCTTTCTGCTTCTGCCTTAGCTTTCTGTTCTGACACTCACTCGATGGTATCCACTGTCTGTTAGAAAGCAGCATGCTAAATTGAAATAAATAAATAAATAAATAAATAGGAGGCAGCATCTTACGTGATAGCTCCATCTCCTGGCCAAAAGTGGAACCATATTCATTCAAGATTCTTTGGCAATATTGTCTTTAACAAGCTTCAGTAAGTGGTGTATAGCTCCTAATTCCATTGTATTTAAAATCAACTACCTTAATTAATTGGAAATTAAACATTTAAGAAGCAATAGAGTATAAGTTTTTAAAAATTTTAAGCCTATTTTTAGGGTTTAGTTAAATTTATTTACCTTACATTTAAATGGAAGATTTTCATATGTCACTACAAACTTTGCGCTTACCTTAAAACTTATTTAATTTTATTTACCACCTGAAAAATAATATGTATCTTCTATGTACTGGGAGTGCCAAAAGAACTTATGCACATGACTTGTATTCATCTTTTGTTGTTGGTATATATTATTAAAATTTTAATATAGCTTTTCCTTAAAATGTGTTACTTTTTTTTGGCACCCTCTGTATAATTTTAGATGTCAAATTTGTCTTTACTGGGTGCCGCTGGAGAGAAGTGGTATAAGTTTTTGTCTCTGGAGAAATTCTGCATTATGTTGTTGTTATTGTTTTCATGTGAGAGGAATGTTGACAGGCTACAGTTAATGCAGCACAATGAACTTATTAAAAGAGAAACTAGAAAAATCTTCCTTCAACCCAAGCTTTTAAAGACATTTCAAAGTATACAGATATCAAATTACATAGTATAGCAAATTTGATCATTATAGTATACTATAGTATGTAGTTATATTTTATTAGGGGGATCAAAATTTAAATTATAGCGAGAATGAATTTGGTATATAACACCAGTTATGGAGAGCATATTATGTGCTCAATAATATATTTGTTTAATTAATTTTTCTACGGTCAATTGTGAAGCCCTGGTTTATCTCAGTTTTGAAAGAAAAAGATAGGTGGCCTTTCTTTCACTTTTTTTACAATACCATTTAATTTGGGGCCAGGTATATGACTAAAATTCTCCCTAGTTTTTTGATATTCCAAAGCGTTTCATTAGCTGCTGGAGCGGTAACGCTGTCCGTGGTGCTGAAAACTCAAGCACTCAAAGGATTCTAGGTCTTCAACTGGTCTGAAATGTTGTCTTTGTGATATTTGATATAAATTTTATCTTAAAAAGCCCTATATCATCCAGAATAAGTGACAGTATCTAAGATACAAATATCTAGGTAATATTTTATCCACAGAATATGTGGATACATGTTGATCAGAAGCCATAATGCCGATGAATCTATTGTATTTAAATAAAAATATGATTATCGATCACACTTTCTTTGCATCCTTTATATAGGATTTCATTTTATTCTTGCTAAAGTTATATTACATATATTCTTTCAGTATTAGTGCCCCCTTGAATACCTAAGCCCTCTCTTTAGTAACTTGTGCAGAGTTAATTAATAAGCAAGTCAGAAGAACAAACCTGGTTCTCTAAATTTTACCGTACTAGTATTTCCACAATGTAATTAAGATATATTTGCATGGTTTTAAAAATACATTATTAACACTGCACAAATAAATAAAGTGACTTAGCAGATCAAATTATTTAAATATGTACACAACTATTTCATCTCATAAGTTTTCTGCAAAAACAGCATACTGGTGCAAACTCATAGGGCACATAAATTATAAAATCTCTATCAAACTTTCCAGCAAATCACTCTTAATGGTCAAGAACATTGAAAGAAAAAGAAATAGAGCCTGAGATGCTACAGACATGAAATATCATTGAACCCTCACATTATCTTTAAAATCATGGAAATTTTATAGTAATTCATATAACATTTAAATTTTTCTTAAAATACTGTTGCTTCCATTATTTTGAGGGTAAATTTTACCCTTTAGGAAGATATGTCTAACTTGTCCTGAGATTTTATGTATCTCTAGGCTCGCTACCGCATGCTCCTATAAGAGATGCAGAAGTTCCTCAAGCCCCAACTTGAGGATCATGAGATTATATGATGTAAAATCAATTTATCTCAGTGAATAAGAAATTACCTAAAAATTTTCTTCGTGTATTCATTTCCAGAATATAACTCAGTTTTGACTAATCATAAAACAAAATCAATATTAAAAAGTGATACCTTTTAAAAAGTTATGAAATATATTTGCGTTCATTTCTAAAATGTTCCTGTCAAAGTCACTGGTAAACTGTAAACATTGTCATAATCCTTTCCTCCTCCCAATATTCATATCTTTTGCAATATGACTACCATTAAGAGATGGTAGTCTCTTTTTTTTTCTCTTTTATCTGGGATGACCTCATAACTTGGCAATAAAATGCAGTATAAGTGATATTGTTCTAGTTTTAAATCTAGGCCTCAACATTTCTTGGTGCTTCTGCTTACTATCTTGGAATGCTCTCTGACCATATGAACATGTCTGGGTCTACCTGGTGGAGGTCATAAGACTACATGGAGCAGAGACAGATTTCCTAGCTGTGAATTTCCAAAAACAACTAGCCCCAACCTGACCTGGCTGCTCATACAGGTGAATAAGCAAATCCAGCTTATTCAGTTAAGTCTGACCAGGCTCAGCAGAACCAGAAAACCATGAACTAACTCAATGCTTATTTGGGGATGGTTTGTCATGAGCCAGATCCAACTTCCTGACTTATTTTGCTTAGCATGATAATCTCAAGATCCCTTCATGTTGTTGCAAATGGTAGTATTTCATCTTTTCTATGACTGAGTAATATTCCATTGTGTATATGTACTACTTCTTTATCCAATCATCTATTGAAAGACACTTCAGTTGTTCCCATGTCACAGCCACCATGAATAATACTGCAATGAACATAAGGGTACAGATAAATGTTTTCAGATTTTCTTGGTAGACACCCAGAATAGGGATTGCTTGGGTCATATGGTAATTCTTTTCTAAAAATTTTAAGGAAACTCATATTGCTTTTCATAGTGGCTGTACCAGTTTACATTCTTAACAATTGAGTATTTACAACCATGATATTAAAAGCTTTTGAAACACTGTTTACTTTCTCCTTGAAATATTTTCTTCACTTGCCTTTACTTGGCACCATTCATATTCTAGTTCTTCTTCATATGGTTGCTTCTTCTGATTCTTCTCAGTGTGCTGTGCTAGTTCCCCCCCCCATTTTCCCACTTGTGAATGTTGATGTGCCCCAGAAAACAGTCTTTGACAATTCCCAAATTATCCCTTTGTAGCCTGGCCCTCTCTCCTGAGCTTGACTTATATTCCAATGGCATTAAATATATTCACTCCCTAGTAACTCAACTCAATGTCTAAAATGAACTTCTGCATCTCTTATAGTATTCACTATCATAGGTAATAGCAATTCCATCTTTTCAATGATTTAGGCCAAAAATTTAATATCATCTTTGACTCTTCTCTTTCATACTCTATATCTGGTCGGTTTGTGAGTACTGTTACCTTCTCCTCCAAAATGTGTCCAAACTAACTCACTGTGTTACAATTTTATTTTGGCATAAGCAACATCATTTCTGGTAATTATTTTTGTAGTATCTTCTTAACTAGCTTCCTTCTTTACTTTTCCTCTTGCCTTTGCTATAATCTATTCTTAACACAGAAACTGGAATAATCCTATTAAACTGTAAGTCATACAATGTACTCATCTTCTCAAAACTTTCCAGTGTCTAGCCATCTTCCTCAAAATAAAGTCAAAATGTGACCAAATGCTCACAATGTTATGAACAATCTGGGCCCCTTTACTTCTCTATTACCTCATTATTCTTGCCATCACTCACTCTACTCCAACCATTCTCATCTCTTGACAGTTACTCAAACACAGCAGTAATGCTCCTTCCTCAGGAAGTTTCTGCCTTTTGATCTCTTTGCCTGGAACACTCTTACACAGGAATTTGGGAATTTGACAATTCCCAAATTATCATACTAACCTGGTCCTCTCTCACTTCCTCTTGACTCACTTCCTCTCTCATTCTGGTCATGGCTCAGTGTCACCTCCTCAGTGAGGCTAGCCCCGACCCCAAACACCATGCCTAAGCCCTCTTATTTTTATTTTCCACTGTAGTACTTAGCTGACATACTATATATTTTGTTTATTGTCTGCCTCCTTTAAAGAAAATGTAAGCTCCAGGAAGGCAGACATGTTTATCTGTTTTGCTCTCTGCTATAAACCTGGTTTATAAAATAGTGCCTGGATCATAAAACTTCCCCAAATAATTAATGAATGTCTTAGATACAGACTATGCACACTATTTTTATTAATACATTATGGAAATGTTATTTATTTTTATGGGTGGATTCATATGTTTTCATTAATATGTCTGTCATAAAGAGTGAAATAAATAGCACATTGTTGGATTAAAATATCATCTAAGATCTAAACAGAAAGCTGGACCTGTAGTGGGTATTTAATAAGTATCTTGGGTTAATGATAATGAATGTTGATATTAGACGACTATCTTCTTGAATTGTTTTCAATGGAGTTCTGAAAAAAAAATTAGTAAAATACCACTGAACAACTCATTTCATGTTAGCACTTTTTGTCAGACCTTGAAAGAGACTGAGGAGGTTATTATAATTTTATTTTAATTAAAAAAGTGTTTATTTCACCTAGAATATTTTACTGTTTTATAGTAAGGTATAAAAATATAAGCACCATGTCCCATGTTGTGTGTGTGTGTGTGTGTGTGTGTGTGTGTGTGTGTGTGTGTGTGTGTAGAGAGAGGGGGTGGGATATAGATATATTCTGAAATCAACTTTAGCTGACATTCATGTAGCTAGCAACAACAAACCAATAATGCATAATTTCTCAATGATATGTCTCTCTGATACTGCTTTAATCATAAAATCTACAGTTTTATTTTAGCAGCTTGATTTTGAAAATGACCTGAAATTTTAGGGATAAAATCATGTATGATGGTTAATTTTATGTGTCAACTTAACTGGACACAGAGAGCCCA